GGCGGGCGGGGGAGGGGGGGTCCTTCCTCTCTTCGGCAACCGTCAGAAGCGGGAGTAGTTGAAGCATACCGCTGCGTTTCCCTCGGGTCCGGGGAATCCTAGAACGGGTCCGTGCCTTCGCGTTTCCTCCCTCGGAACGGCGCTTGCAGGGAAGCGCAGCCTCGGCAGTTCGCCTGCGGTCCCACTCTGCGGTTCCTCGCTGTCCTGTAGGAACCCTCTTCCTCTATTAGTGGGCTCCGTGGGCAAACAGACCAAGTTTCGTACCTTTGCAGCTGTATGACAGAGTAAAAGAATAATTATTTTTATTTTCTGTGGTGACGGGAGGGGAAAAAAAGTAGGTAAGTACAGCGAGAAAGAATCCTTAAAATTAAATGCTATACCTTAAAAGGTGGCCCACTGGGCTGTCAGCAGCAGAAGAACAAAGTTCCACCTTTCACATCCATTTGTTGTACATTTTGATCTCATCTGCCGGTGTGAAGCTGCAAGGTGTGTCAGTGGAGGTGGGAGAACAGGACACTGGAGTCAGCCATGGTGACCTGAGCAGCAGAGGTTTCCCCAAAGTCTCCTAGTGAGCTCTGGTGTAGACTTGGGATTTACTGAGCAAGTTCCAAGCTGGTAAATATTTTGCATGGGGAGCAGTAGTAGAATTCACTCTCAGATTATTTTGAAGTTGTTTCTCTTGCCAGTGAATTCTGATCTTATTGGAGGATTCTCACAGAACGTGAGGATTTGTTTAATAACACTTTGGGCCGTCTAATTATAATGCACTTGAAAGCAGTGCGTGTCGTACTGTGTTTGGCTGCCTTAAGGGTATGATTTACTTGACCATGCAGATGAAACACTAAAATTACTTGGAATGGGAAGTGTAAGTCTTAGTGTATCAGTTCAGCCTTCTCTTCGTCCGACTTAGAAAACCAAGTTCTGGGCAGGCATGTTGTGTGGAGCATTTAAAATGCGGTTTGAAAGATGTAAGTTGGAGAGCATATACGTGACTAAAGATGCTTTCCTGAGAAGGAGGAGTTGACTTTTGGCGGAAGTGTGCCTTGTCTCACAACAGAGCGGTGTGCTGCTTTGGGCCTGCTTTTCTAGAGACGCCTGGATCGCAGCAGTGTGGTATTTACAGAGCCACCATCGACTGTATGGACATGCAAAATATGTACTGAGTTGGCTTTTCATCTTTTGTTCCTCCTGATGTTCAAAGTTCTGGCTTTGGGTTTGTTTGTCTTCGATTGCAAAACAGACAAGACAGGCGGCATCTTGAATGCGCTTAAGTCGGTGGTGGCGGTCACGATCTGTTTTGGAAGGCAAACTCTTTGTTTTATTCTTTTTTCGAATTGTGGGTATGTTCATTGTTGTAGTTCTTACAAGAAAAGAACAAAGCCCAAATCCTTTTTGGGAAACAGGTCAAGCTCTTGTCAGTCACATTTGCACGAGTCTCTTTATCGTGACTGAAGTAATCCACTTAGAAGAAAAATTGTGACAATTACATATAACTACCTAAAGCAGAAATAGCATTAATTTGTCCTTTGTGATTTTAACAGATATATTGAGGACATCATGAATTGGAATAAAGGTGGACCTGGTACTAAGAGAGGCTTTGGTTTTGGTGGATTTGCCATAACACCTGGGAAAAAAGAGGAGCCTAAGCTCTCTCAACAGTCTCATAGTGCTTTTGGAACAGCCGGTTCTTCTGCTGCATTTGCGAAATCCGGACCTCCTCAGCTGCCTTCTTTCTACAAAATTGGGTCAAAGCGAGCAAATTTTGATGAAGAGAATGCGTAAGTAGGGTTATTTCTTGTGTTTATCTGGCTCTAGATTTTCATGGTTTACAGTTTCCAAGGTCAGGGAAAGTATCTGTGACATTGATGAGGTTTAGGTATTTAGAAAAGCCTGCTCAAGTGTAAATACCCTAATGCTGCGTTCTGGTGTAACAACCCCCCGGGCCTTACAGCAGTAGCATCAAGAAGAACTGAGCTGCTCACCTGCAGGTACTCCCGTCCTTGCTTGATGTCACCCTGGAGCAATTATTTACCCTTTCTCTGTGTGTCAGCCCGTTGTCTGTGAAATGAGAGTGGCAATACATCCTTGCCTTTATAAAGGAGCGTGAGATGCACCGGCAGCCCATGGAGAGCTCTCCTCCTCTAGCTTTCCCCTCCCTGAGAACAGCTCTCAGCTGAGCCTCAGTCAGCTCAGTCTTGTTCATGCTGTGGTCTGAACAAGACTTTGCCTGAGGTGCTTCAGAATCGGAGCCAAGCAGGATAAATTTGGGTGTCTTTTGCACAGGGAAACATTCAACTCCGCGTTTCGTTACTAACTTTTCTATTAGCTGTGTAAATGCGTTGACTAGAAGGGAGAGCAGAAAAGTGTCCTGTGCTCACCAGCCTGGGAGAGCCACTCAAGAACATCAGTTTTGTAACATCGATTTGCCCTACCGCCGCTTTCAGCTTACAGCGCGAGTGATTGGAAAGAAAGAAAGAAATCTCGACATCTTTTCCTGTGTACCTACAGCCTTTTGTTACCTGTCTCTGTGTGGGAAACTTGACCTGACTCAGAAACCATGAAAGACAGCGTGGTGCTGTAGACTGTGTGCTGACTGGGCGTTGTTTCTTTCTTTTCAGGTACTTTGAGGATGAAGAGGAAGATTCCAGCAATGTCGAATTGCCGTACATTCCCGCAGAGAATTCCCCCACTCGCCAGCAGTTTCATTCCAAATCAGCAGACTCTGACAGCGATGATGATCCTCTGGAGGCATTCATGGCTGAAGTGGAGGCAAGACCCGGCTTGTGAAATGTTTTAGCCATTTATGTGGCTGTACTTCCCTCCAGTCGCGAGCAGCAAATGCCACTCATGACTTTGACAGCTGTATTCAGAATGTCACTTAGCTTTTGGTTTTTATGTCAGATGCTGTGTTAATTAGAACTCAGAGGTGGATTAGGTGGGGAGAGGGCAGATATGATTTACAGTGACTTAACTGTTTAGCTGTTTTGAGCATGTCAAGGCAGTACAACAAAGAGCTTTGTGTGTCTCTGAATATGCAATTAAGGTTTTGTGCATTTTACACTACCTGAATTGAAATGACTTATATTTGTCATGAGCTGTTCCTTAGCTACAGTTCTGTTATTAGCTCGATTCTATCACAGCGTTTTCAGGAGGAATGCAGAGAATATATTTTTTAACAGCATTGCCGCAAAGTTACGGTATATAAATTTCAAAGGTATTAGTAGGAGAAGTTATTTAGCGTCACAGGATATGGAACAAGAGAAAGTTTAGTCCAAAAAGTGTTGTCTCTGTGGCACGATGGTCTAGTTATGTAGGAAGATTTTTCCCTTCCCTGTTTTGTCACCTTGGGTTTTTTAACGTGTCATAATTTTATGACCTGTTAGGATCAAGCTGCTCGAGACATGAAGAGACTTGAAGATAAAGACAAAGAAAAAAAGAATGTTAAGTAAGTTCTCTTTTATAATTCCCATGCCTGCCTGTGTCTTGTATGGTGCTGAGAGAATTCCAGTGTGTTTTGTTGATGATGACGGTTCTGTAGACAAGCCAGTCCATACCCAGTAAACAGCGTTATCAGCGCGTGGTATCCCCCATGGGTAAAGTTCTGCGCAATAAAAATGGAATAGTAGGAGGGAGGAATCCGTGGTGGCATCCTACGGTAAAACTTAACAGCACTGAGAGCTGCCTCACGCCTTTCTAGGTGGTGGAAACTGGGGCAGCACGTTGTGCTACCACCACCTTCCAGATCAGCCTGAATAGTTTTTCTTCTTTCCACATCCTTGCAGTGGGGAGGATGGGTTTAAAATTGCATTTGTGTGAGCAAAAGAATTCAGTGCTGTAGATCTGGAGATTCTTCCAGACTTGAACTACGTTTTAAGACATTCCCTGTAAAGCTGATCTGTTAGGTAGCATGTGGCAATTGGGATGCTAAATTTGGAGTTTAAAACCAGTTTACCTTTTTGTGGCTTATCTATCTTTTGCCTAAAGACAATAATTATGCTGTCAGTTCTTGAGATAAATGTCAGATACATTGGTAGAACTTGCATTGCATGGGGTTGATCAGATTATACACGGTCCCGAAACAGAACACCGGATCCAAACCACCACCTGGGGAAGTTCTGAACTGGAGTTGCACTTCCTGGCTCATATTCCTCTTCAGTTGTGGGACTTCTGTAGCATCGAGAGCTTAGACCAGGATGATCTTTGAGGCTTCTACTGGGAAGACGGAGTCCCAATCTTTCGGTCTCGTTAATAGAAGTAAAAAGAAGTCTTTGCAGGGCCACTGTTGTGGTTGGCACCAAATACGGAAACTCCATGGGTTGGGATTATGAATGTTACTGAGTTGTTAGTGTTGTGCCTTCCACGGAATATGGAGCTCAGCACTAATCAAATGAAAGTATGGAGCTGAGTATGTGGAACACTTGCAGGGAAGTTTTTTTTCTCCGCTTGTTTTTCCAGGGGTATTCGAGATGACATTGAAGAGGAAGATGACCAAGTGAGTTCCTATGCAGTCTTTCTATCTTCTTTTTTGTTTTGATTTGGTTTTTTACCTTCCCTCCCCAAATACGTGACTACTAGGTACAAACAGAACTCCAGTTTCACGCGCAGTATCCGGACATAGGAAGCTCTAGTGGTTACCCTGCTGTCTCTACCCTTCTAGGTGTTGCGCTTAAAAAAAAAAGAAGAATATTAGGAGACAATTTCGTTCTTTTTTACTCCATTTAAGAAGACTTTTTTTCAGTCAATTTGAACTTCAACTTCCTGTACAGATTTTTCAGTATCTGAGGGTCTCATCAAATTTGAAACTAGCAGAACCATCTGACACGGAGCACCAGTGAGAGGCTGTTAAACTGTGGAGGCTGTTTGCAGTGAAATTTCATATCTGTTAAGTGCAAAAATAGGCTTTTTGCGCGTTATTTTCAGAGGAGCTCCAGTTCTGATTGAGGATTATAAGCGTCACTGTAACAGAAATAATAAACAAAGAGGAAAGACTTCATTTGAGAATGTTCCTTACTACTAATTTGTCATTAATAACTATTGTGTTACACACAGTAATGCAGAGCAGGAAGGGTTGTCTGGCCTCTAGGCCTTTGCTTCCAGTTTGGTGAGTGTAGCTGTGCTGCAGTGTGAGCAAAGGTGACTTACTGGGAGTCAGCTGTTGTTCCAGTGCAGCGTCTGCGTGTCCATGCGACTGGCTGTGCAAATGGAACAGCCAGATGCGTACATACCTCTGTTTGTAATTGAACCTTGCTTTAAAAATCCAATCTTAAATACTTGCTGGAAAATCAAGTGAGACTGATGTTTCCTCCATGAGAATGTCTTGGTGTGCCAGTGAGATTCCGTGAGACACATACATCCTTGTGAGCTGCAAGGGTGGCATGTGACAGTGGTGGCAGTGACATCTAACCTGGGCTTGTGTGGAAGGACTGTTCTGAAGCAGTTCTTTCCCGTTTGCTGTTGACTCAGTGAAAACCAGATATATTTTAATTTCTTAGAATCTAGTTAAGGGAAGTGGAGAAACTATCTTTGGCATAGTGTGTTAAAAAACCGTAAACATCATATGCTTAGTAATGTTGTGTTCTCTGTTTAAAAACCTGCAGTGTTTGTGCTTTGTTTGTGTCGAAATGAGAGTAGATTTTTCTATTGCTAAAGCATAGCAAGTCTTGTTAGAAGGAGTTGTGAAGCAGACATGTGAGAGAAGTTTGTTTCTTGAAAGCATTTTGTGGTCTGACGCTATAGTTGTTTTCTTCGTTTGTACTTGTTGTCCTTCTTCTGGACATAACTGTTGGCATTTATTAGAAGAATCAGTTCTAGTGAATGTGGTTTTTTTTTTCCTCAATGGTGGGTGTGAAAGCAAACAGCCTCTAGCACACACGTCATTTAAACAAACATGGTCATATTTTTGCATCCTATTGTATGTGATTTTACTGATATGTTTTGCTGCAGGAAGCTTATTTTCGCTACATGGCCGAAAACCCCACTGCCGGTGTGGTCCAAGAAGAGGAAGAGGATAACCTGGAGTATGACAGCGATGGGAATCCAATTGCACCGTCCAAAAAAATCATTGATCCTCTTCCACCCATTGACCATTCAGAGGTAGGAAGGAAGTTTGTTCCATTCTGTTCTGCCTGAGGCTTTCTGGAAGGCAGGAGCTAAGCAGCAGATGGAGAGATGCTGCTGTCCCTGTGACACTTCGGTGCTGTGCTGCGTAAGTCGTACTAAAGATCCTTGGAACGGCTTCATGTTAAATGAATGTTCTTGCAGACCCTGAAGAACTTTTGAGGAAAAGCACCGTTTCCTTCCAAAACTAAGTGTGTGGGGAGAGAATCTTGAGTCCGGGGCTAACTGAGTAATTACCCTTGCAGATTGAGTATCCACCGTTTGAGAAGAATTTCTATGATGAGCATGAGGAGATCACCAGTCTCACCCCGCAGCAAGTGGTGGAGTTACGTCATAAGCTAAATCTCCGGGTAAGCTGGTCACAAAACTGTCCTCCTGGGACCTTTTTACTCCCTTTTTTTTGACTTAGTAGTTTTAATGAAGATTTTTTACAGGAAGCGCCAGCTTTTGAATACTAAGCCTCCCAGATGCCTTCAGTGACTTTGATTTAAGGGAGCTTGATTTTCCTTAGCAGTTCTTGAAAGTCTTCTCTGGATTTGTCAGAGAGGGCACCGAAAATCGCCAGTTGCATGGTTGCACTGGGACTAAAGAGCTCCAGAGCTAGGAACTGAAATTGGAAATAATGATATGCAAGAATTAGTTCTTTGCCATCTGTGACACGTAGTGTGGTGACTTTCTGTGGAGGGAATTATTTGAGGAAGAAGACCAGTTATACAGGGAGGTAGATATGAAGTTTAGTAGCTTATGTTGATTGATAATTTATCTAGATTTTTATATACCTGAAAGTCCTATTTACGCAACACACCTGGAATTTGAACCTGGTTAAACTTGGGTCTATTCAAAAAGAAGCAAGCTGTTTTCAGAGGCAGAAACACCCTTTTTTTTCATTTCTGTACAGATTGCTCTCTGATTTTCTCTTACTGGTCATGAACAAAGATATGTTTCTGTCTCTTAAGGTCTCCGGTGCTGCTCCTCCAAGGCCAGGCAGTAGTTTTGCTCATTTTGGGTTTGACGAGCAACTTATGCATCAGATTAGGAAATCCGAGTACACCCAGCCCACCCCTATACAGTGTCAGGTGAGTGTCAGCGTCGTTACTTCTCTAACATGGAACACATGCAAAGGGCCCAAGTCCCTCTGAGGATGTCTGCAGTTCTAGTTTCCTGTATAGAGCTGTCATGGAGAAGAATAATTTGTATTTTTCTAGGAAAATAGGTTTGATGTTTTTTAAATAAAGTTTACCCACTTTTTTTCTTGTTAAATGACCACTGTAAATATATGTATATTCTTTTCTTCATTTGTCTCATGGTGAAGACTGAAGAACATTCAAGTGACATCTCTTGCTTACAGAAATGTATGAAAGGCTTTTTGTGTTGTTGGGTTTTTTTTAAATCGTATTAAAAGTAACCATAGCAGTAGCTGAGTAAAGAGCCGTACATTGACAGCTTTATTCCTTTAAACAGCTTATATTGGGGTGGCTTGTAACTAGAAGAGGTATGCCACGAGGCATTTTGTCCTTCATTTCTTTCAGCAGTTACAACAAATGCCCTGTGAGCTGGACTATTTAACTGGCCGTTCCTTGCAGAGCCGTGCAAGCAAGAGGGATTCTCCTGCATGTGTAGACTGATTAGCATCAGTAATTAGGGCTGTCAGCGATGTGATTATAACCACACCACTTCAGATGCTTTTCTTGAAGTATAAAAAAATGATGTGGTGCTGTGTCCGAGGGATGTGTATGGCCCTTAGTCCACACTATTTTGTAAAAAACTGTGGTGGAGAGGTCCTTACAGCAACAGGAGGGATGAGCTGAGGACTTCAGCTCTCAGAATGGTTACAGAAGGAAGAGGCTCAGAGAATTTGGTTTTAGTGTTTTTACAGCTGGACAAGATGCATTTGTGTACCTGTGTATATATCCTTGGGATGTTGTACTGTGCCCAAACATTGATTTCATAGAGGACACCAAGAGTGATAACATGGTAATTGCTTCCAGCCCTTAAAACAAACTAATTCAGATCTGAATGTGGCAGTAAAACTGTGTAAGCATCGGTGTATGTTGCTGTGAGTCCTCTGTAACGTGCTTTCCTCTAATTATCTGAGTTTTCCTGTAATACCTGGGACAAGAATACGCTAAGGTAGGCGTAATATGGGTTTAGAATCTCCTTATTTTTAGGGCGTTCCAGTTGCACTAAGTGGCAGAGATATGATTGGGATAGCGAAGACTGGAAGTGGAAAAACAGCAGCCTTCATCTGGCCGATGTTGATCCACATCATGGATCAGAAGGAGCTTGAACCGGGGGATGGTCCCATTGCAGTGATCGTCTGCCCAACCAGAGAGCTTTGCCAGCAGGTGGGTGTGTAGTAAGTGTACCTGTGCCGTACGGTGTTCTTGTAGAAGATGACAAAATTTGGGGTAGAAATTATCAGAGAACCTCAGTAACTGTTTGAAAAAGCTACTCTGCGGTAGCAGTGTGCATCCAATGCAAGCTCACGGTTCTCTCCTACACCTCTTCTTGTTGAAAGATCGTGAAACTAAGTTTTTGCACAGTGCTCCCATGTTATTTCTAAGCATTAAGAATACTGTGGATGTGTTGCCACAACTTGTGTGTGTAAAAGGACAGAGCCCGCAGGTGAAATTACGGCTGGATGCTTAAGTAGGTTTCTCAAATTATTGGAAATTATCCACAACTATTGAAGTGTTGAGCCCTGAGGATTTCTGAATAATTTCATTAAGTTATTAGCTGAAAAGTGGATTTCAGGAGCTGGACTATATTTCCAAGGTAGGCACATTTTCTCAGATCTAACGTGAACTGTGATGTGCTTTGTTTGAAATTCCCAGATCCATTCTGAATGTAAGCGCTTTGGTAAGGCGTATAATCTGCGCTCTGTAGCTGTGTATGGAGGAGGAAGCATGTGGGAGCAAGCCAAAGCCCTCCAGGAGGGAGCAGAGATAGTTGTCTGCACACCAGTAAGTACCTGTATGCACAGTACAGGTTTTTTTGTGGTTTAACTGAAGCTGAGACAGACTGTTAATACCATGAGTGATGCAGAATTTGATCTTTGGTCGCTGAAATGTGGGTTCGTCAGATGTTGAGAGGAATCATGCTGCGATTATTCTTTTCCTGAAAGAAATTGAAAGAGATTAGGTATGATCTCCAATAGAAGACAGAGTAGCCAGCCAGATCTGCTTGAATCAGTGTCAGTAGTGTGTCATACCACCTTCTGCTTGCTGAGCCTTAAATTCATGAAGAAAAATCCCAGAATGTCATGGACTTGAGTGCCCTCTTCCTGAATCAGTGTAGAGCCTGTGGCAGTAATATGGAAGGGTTTAAATGTTGAACCAGAATGGGTACTGATGCTGAATGAGGGATTTAAATGAGCACCAGCATCCACTGGCTTTGCTCATTGCAATAACTAGTTACGAACTTGGGCAAAACTGCGCAACTGATGGTTGGAGGGAGTTTTATTGTGGCTATTTATTGGGGTACTAGGCAAGAAAAGAAAGTATGAAGAACTCCGTGGCCAAAAATTGTGGGATTAAGGAGCCCGTTCACGTTTAAAATTCGATTGTAATGAAGAATAGGGAATTTTAGAATCTTGGCACTGTTAAGCTTTAAAAAACAGTCCTAAAATTCAGCTTGTCAAGCGTAGTTGATGAGAGTTTTAGGAATCCGTTTCTATGACTTGAATATTGACACTTCTAGACTGAAGCCTTGAGATGGTTTTTGTTCTAAGTCTTTGGTAAGTGAGGATAAAAAGCAGTTAAGTGCATAAAGGTTGAATATTAGGGGCTTTTTAAATATGCTTTAAAAACTTGGCTTTTTTTTCTTTTTAATAGGGGCGCTTGATTGATCATGTGAAAAAGAAAGCTACGAACCTTCAAAGAGTCACTTACCTTGTGTTTGATGAAGCTGACAGAATGTTCGATATGGGTTTTGGTATGTAATGAACAAAGTTCACTGTTGGAAAGCAGTGGTGTCCAGTTCCCAGCTTAACCCTGGCAGTTTCATATACTTGGAAATACATTAAGCAAATGCTTTATAGATAAAACTTATATTTAAAGGTCTAATGTCTGTTGCTATAAAGAGATCAGTGAAGTCCTGTTGATGTTGAAGCCCCAAACCCCTGATTTTTATCTTAGAGTTGCTGGATAACTTTTGGGCAAGTCACTTCTGTGCTTTGATTCTGTGCGTCCAGACTGGTGGCGTTAAAAGAACTTTCTGCTTTATTGGGAGAGGTTTGGTCATTCAGATCTGGATGATTTTGAATTTGTGTTCGGGAATCACGGGACACGGCAAAGGTTTGGCAGTGCTGTGATAGCGCAGGGGTGGGGAGACACTTGTCAGCTTATGCATGGATTCAGATCGGATCTTTGCTCATGGAGTTTTTTGCTGAAGGAACTTCCAAAAGTTTCTCTGTACAGTGAAGGAGCTTTCATTGTGCAGCAAAGAGCACCTGGAAGTCACAGCAGAATTAAACACTGAGTGAGAGGCACGCGTTCACTCTATGGTTATTTGTTAAGTAAAGCAATGAAGTTGCATTTTGAGTTATTCTACTAAATAACGAGCGTACAATGTTGATGGGAACGTTTTCCATCTCCTTTCCAGAATATCAGGTCAGATCAATCGCAAGCCACGTACGTCCTGACAGACAGAGTAAGTATCAGCATGTTTCCAGATCAACTCCTGAGGGTCGAAGGAGGCTGGCGGGGGCAGGGGGGCTACTGTTAGGAATCTGGAACAGAGCTTGGGTCTCCTGTTCCTGTCACAGCCACGCAGTGACACTTGTGCAGAAGCCCTCTGGTGTTATTCTCGGCGTGGGCTGCTGGGAGGGAGCACTTGGGAAGCGTGGGCATTTAACCGCGCTGGTCCGTGATCCGTCCACAGACCTTCCTCAGAGAAAAGATGATTAGCTGAATTAATGTTAGTTTGCTTTGGGATCCTGTGTTCTAACCTGCCGTGAAAGAAAGTTCACAGCGGCGCCACATACTATCGACGTCTTATTTCAGGTGCCGTGGGATGTGTTTCCACTTTGAGGTATCTGATAGTGTGATGGATAATTTCAGTTAGAACCAGGAAAACAGACCGTGGCTTCCGATCAGTGACACGTGGTACAGCTGTACAGGTCTCGTTCACAAGATCTGTGCAGTGTCTTCACGGTTCTGAAAGACAGTTTGTTTTCCAAGGGGTTCACACGCTGGTTTTCTTTTAGCCCTGTTGTTCAGTGCCACTTTCCGTAAGAAGATTGAGAAGTTGGCCCGAGACATTCTGATCGACCCAATTCGAGTTGTGCAGGGAGACATTGGAGAGGTAATTCCACATCCCTTCTGAGACACCCAGAGGAATGTTGCTGTTCTCTGAAATTTAAGTTAGACTGCTGTAGTCATCGTTTATATTTAAGAGTAAATAGTTTGTGCTTAAGAAAAAACAGTGAGGTTTTGTTGTTTGGTTTTTTTTATTGAGGTTTTTCTCTGCCAACAAATGTTCTCAGCATGATGGGAGGTTTCCTCGAGGAGTGAAACAACATCAATGCAGTGATTGCTTTTTTTTATTTGTTAGGCTGAATCAATGGGTATATGCTTTTGTTTTGTCTCAGAACTATAAATAGAGTACAGCTTTTGCAATGAAGGGTTGGAAACTTGGACTGTACTGTCTTTCAGCTGGTTTACATGGGAATGTTGGTTCTATACTTGCTTGACAGTAGCAGCTGAACTATTGGAGTGGGGATTTGGTACTAAGTCAATGAAGTGGGCAGGTTACAGTCGCTGTGAAGAAACTTTGCTTGTAATATGTGAAAACTGTTGAGAAATTTCACAAGATGCCTGCAGAACATTCCTCTTTTAACCAGTTCTGTGCCCTTTTTTATTTTTTTTTCCTTCAGGAATGTGAGGTGTCCCTTTATAACAACAAATTAACGGCTCCCTGAAGCCCCTTCTTTGTGGGGAAAATGGTTTTCCTAAACATCACTTAAGAAAAGAAGCAGCTTTCCTAGCTCAGTCACATGGTTTCTTTGCTTTGATCTAAATCATTACTCTATTATGAGAGCATCATCTTTGAAATAATTAATATTTAAGTGTGTAAAACTTAAATCTTTCAGAGAAACTTCCAGATAGTGCTGTGAGCTCCACT